CCAGCGTCTGATCAAGCGGAGAGCGTCCAGAGGCGAGCGGCAGATAGCACAGGACAGGGGTCAGAGCACTTTTATACCAAGGACACATCTTGTGCTGCATCATCTCCAACTCTGGTGCACGGTGACTCACCGGGCTGTCAAACAGGCACGGTTGATTAAAAACTCCTCATTGTTATATGTGCAGTAAACTTCAGAGGGGAGACATAAAACGGCCAGCAAATGTTATTAGAAAAGCTGCACTGACGACACGGCAGGAGGAGACTCGCCGAACGCAGCTTGGAGCCTTTTTCAGAACTTGATCCTCATGCATTGTTTGAAACACCCCGACTGGTGTGAGTCAGGACGGGCAGCTGATTAACATTCAGGCGCCGTCCTGAAACCTCCAGTGATACCAGCAGCGTGTTGTACGTCCACCCTGAGCTGCATCAGCACATCACCGAGCAAAGAGCAGTTTTCAAAGGAAAACACAAGTGTGTACTCCAGCTGTACTCCAGAGCAATCACATTGTGTATTATTAATTATTTTCTGGAAAATTTAAATATGTAAATTTGACGTTCTCTCAGCTTAGAGGGATGAGGCACCAGAGCGAGGACAGAGAGTCTGTATCATCCTGACCAGTTCAGTTACAGATGTTTTTCCGTCCAAAAAAAGTAATTAGAATAAATTCATTTTGATTTTTAAATGACTTAATAGAATAAGAAGGCACAGATTATCCTTCTGGGTGACATAGAAGGAGGAAGAAACCTGGAAAGAAGGAAAACAAAGAAAAGGAAAGAGAACAAGAGGAAGATGAAGGAGACTCAGAAGGAGCCGGAAAATAAGGAGGAAGATGAGAAGGACAAAAGAGAATAAGGAGGGTGAGATGACCAAGAAAAAGAAGAAAATTAAAGCAGAGATAATGGAACGGAGATGAGAAAGGAAGAAGGAAGGTGAAGAAGATAAGGGAGGAACTGAAGGAGAACGAGGAGTAAATAAAGGAGGAGGGGAAAGAGAATGAGTTGAAGGATGAGACGATAAAGAACAGAGGGAAAAAAAGAAATATGAAATGAAAGAGGAAATTTAGAGAACTTCAGAGACACAGAATCTCTGGAGAATTCCAAATCTCCTGTGTTTGTCTGACCGTCAGTGTGGACCTCAGACACATCTGGGTTAAATTCACCATCTTTAAGAATCAGAAGGCATGAATGAAACTCCAGCCCACATTCAAACCTGCAGCAGGGACAACAGCACACATTTATCTTCAACACTCACCTGGACTCTTGTTCTGCAGAGTCTTTAAACAGAAGGAAAGACCAGTTAGAAGGGAGTTCTACAAGAACAAAACATGGAAAAAGAAACTGGATTTTCATGAGGAGTAAAATCAGGAGTCAGTGAGTCAGAGACAGATTCACCGTGGACAGCTGCAGCGATGACCTCGTGTTGATTGCGGTGCTGTTAACTTTTGTCCTACAGGGTTCTTCTGAGGCGGCCGTGTGGGATTCAGCTTGCATCATCGCCTTCTGTCTGATTTCAGCATCAGATGAGTTTAAATTCATCAGCAGCTCACCTGCAAGAAAGTAGAGAGATCCATTTTCACTGCCTGGAGTTTGATTCTTTGACCTATTTATATTTTGACTTAACTCTGGCTGTTAAAGCAGAGGGAGTATGAACAAACCTGGATCAATGTGAAATGTTTTTGTGTTTACTACTGTAGTTTTTTGGTTCAGTGGAGTAAATAATGGTTGTATTTAGTTCTCATTTTCAGACATCTGTGACAAAGCTGCTAGTCCAATTCTATTCTAGTTCTTTCTATTCCAGTCTAGTCTAGACTTTTTCAGTCTATTCTAGTCTAGTCTAGACTTTTCTAGTTCTTTCTATTCTAGTCCAACCCTTTCCAGTCTATTCTGTTGTTAGAGCTAAAAACTATAAAAATTAAATCCCTTTTCCACAGCGCCCACTTTTTGCACACAAGCCTCCTTTCAAGCCCTACTTTGAGAACCCATGGGTTACAGTATTGTATTGGCACTCTATAAAGAAGTGGAAAATAAAGAAAGTAACAGAACAAAAAAAACAAGATGAATAAATGAGGTCTGTAGACTATAATTAATTAAATACAACATGAAATATAAAAAGAACACATTGATAGATTTTACTTTGATAAATGTGTGTTTTATATATATAGCTCCATTTGCATGTAATCAGCTTGTTAAAATTGAAATATTAAAATAAAAACATAATATTCCTTTTAATGTCATTTGAAGGACAACGTGTGTCCTGTGTTTGTTTATTGTTTCCCTTCTGTCAAAGAGAGTTTCTCTGTGTTTGTCCTAATGAGCCACAGAAGTGAGTCAGCGGCAGGTTTAGAAATACCACGAACTTTAAAGTCACCTCTCACTGAGCTTCGACTTGAGTGGAGGACAAAAACAGTCCCGTGCAGAAATGACTCACTTATTTCATCCACGCTCTTCAGAAACTTCTCCATCTCCTGGAATTTCCCCGTTGAGCTCATTTTCTCTAAGTGTTTCTTTTATTATTAACTGGAAATCCACTGAGCTTCAGCCACTCTTAGCTTTAACTTTAGCGGCGCTGGGTAGCCATAGTAACGGGATGCAATACAGACACGTGACTGCATTGAAGGATTACAACCACAGGGTGGCAGTGACAGGGGAGGACAGTGAGGAAAGATAAAGGTCCGAGTTGCCAGGTCTGCCTATCACCCGTCTTTGGTAGTGTTTTACGGTAAATTTGTTAGTTAGTTTTTTTTTTTTTTACAAAACTTACAAATAAGAAAAGCAAGTTTATTTTACAAACTTTTATATTAAAAATACTAGGAACTGACCTTTATTAATTTAGCAGAGACAGAAAACAGTGATGTGCATTTAGAGATTTAGGCTTAAAAAATGTTTCGAACTGAAGATGAAGGTCAGATTCATACAACACACACAGATCCATGTTGTTTGAGCTGTCACTTTTGATCGCAAACAAAGAGAGAGAGAAAAACAAATAAATAACTTAAAGGACACACAAAGTTATGGCAACTTTTCAAAGTGTCAAACTCTGGAGTGAGAAGTGCTTACGGGAAGTTCAAAGAGATTCAGACACAACAGAACAGAACAGAACACAAACTGACAAAGGCTGAGAGCAAAAGTGAGAACTGTTGAATAAACTTTACACAAAGAAATGGTCGGAGCAGCACTTTGTGGACGACTTTGGCTAAAACTGTCAAAACACACTGAAGCTCAGCACAGCCCTGGGCTGTGAGGACGAGACCAGGAAAAACACCTGTAGTCCTGAAGACAACTGCCGGCTCTAATCACTCTGGGCCCTGGGCCAAACTTCACAGCAGTAAAAAGGGGACGGTGGAGACATGTCAGGTTTATCCAGCCACTGCATACAACTAGTGACATGGAATATTGCATTTGAACAGACATGATTAGATTAGAACAGTGGTTCTCAAACTGTGGTACACATACCACCAGTGGTACGCGAGCACTCTCTAGTGGTACGCGGGGAAAATTCATATTTTCACAATTACATTTTCAATTGAACAAATCTGAAACATACCATGCACAATTTATACAACATTTAAACATAAACATCTTTATAAACATTTCTAAACATCTCTCCTGTGTGGTAGAAGCTAACAGGGAAGGCCTATGCTGCTATATTCTAATGCTGGTCATCATGGTGGTACTCAGAGAGATCAATGTTTTCTCAGGTGGTACAGATTATTAGAACACACTATAACACTGACTGTGCGCTCTAACTATCCTATGTATTGATTGGAAAACCAACCATACTAGACTAAAGGCTACTATCAATCCAAACGAGTTAACGCTGTCTTCTGCTGGATAGCTAAAGAAAATCAACAGATTATTTAATTACAGATTGAGGTTTGTTCAGACCCTATGATCGCTGTTAACTCTTTCTACGATACAGAATAAACATTCAGATGAGGGTGTTTTGTTCAGCAGTTTTATTTAAAATTATTCATTAAATAACAACAGGTCTAACAACGTATTTTCTTCTCCTATCTTTGGTGGCCCCTATATATGGATATATGGATCACTCCCCCAGCACTGGTCTGGACTGACTATCGCCCAGCTTTAACACAGACAGACTGGAGTCATTTCATATGTTTGGAGACGGATTGGAGACGTAGTTTTTGTGTGTGTATAAACTGTATGTACTACAACATTTTACATCAAAAAGCTACCAGCAGAGAACAGGCTGCCGTTTGTCTCTACATCTTTCAGACAAACTCCACAAAGGACCGACACAGAAAACGCTCCGCTGCATTCTTCAAAAGAGTTGTCAATAAAAAATGTGGTTCATCTGGACCAATTATCCGGCAGAAGCTCGGCTTCCAGTAACAGATCCTGTATTAAACTGTTACTATAACGAGGGTGTATGTCACGACATCATTTCAGATGAAGCTGGGCTTCACTGACAGTCAACTTACTGTGAATTTCCACTTGTTCTAAGAACTAATGAGTCCAGAAATCCTTTAACATTTCAAAAGATTCCTTTGGTGGCCAGATGATGAGGTCCTCAACCATGTGATGATGAAGTCAAAGCACTAACTGCTCTGTGCTCTGTGGTTGCCCACACAGTTTCCTGTGTAAACCCCTCGCTGTAAACTAACTTTCCATTTTCTGGGGTGCACGTTTCAAGGCCCATCTAAGTCATTCAAACGGAATTTTCTCCACAGCTTATGCTAATTTCTAACCTCAGGTTATTAACTTGACTCCACACTTCGAAAATGACTTTTTTTCCACTGTGTCAATTGTTTATTAAAAACAAGAAATACAATTACCGCCAATGTCATCCAGAGAAGAGTCAAGCGAGACCGGAACCAGCCTTTGATTATTGTTTTAATTGTTAGTTATTTGCGTTTTACGTGAAAGTTCTCTGAGGAGTTTCTGAAGCAGAGGATACACGCCACTAAATCCATGTCAAATTGTTGTTATCATGTCGTTTTCAACACATCAACACTGCTCACAGTGGATTCTTTTTTTCTTTTTTCACTCTTTATTTTCATTTTTCTCCTTAATTTTGAAGGTTTCTTCAGAGATGTCAGGAAAATTGATTTTTTTTTCTGCACATTTATTCTGCACCTCTACAGTCTAAGTGGACCTACATTACACTCACAGATCTCCCCCACCTCCTCCTCCTCCTGTTCCACCTCCTCGTCTTCTTCCCCCTCCTCCTCAGCTCCTATAAAAACCCGCTTCTAGTGAGCCACCTGACATGAGAGCAGCCTATAATTTACATGCTGTGCTTACCTTTTCCCCTCAGTAACGGCTCAACAGCGCCTTCCTGTGGTCAAAACGACAGTGAATAAAACAAACAGCAGAATTACAGGCTTTTATTTGGCAAAACGGAATTTAACAGGATTAACTAATTAACACTAGTACAGCCACAGTCGTCGACCACCGTTCACACTCACATTCACACCAATGCCCAGTCGAGCACAGTTTACCTGTGCATCCTTTTTTGTTTCTCTGGACAAAACCCAGGCACAAATGGGGGAAACATTCAAACTTTGTGCATGAAGACCATAGCTCACCACCTAAATGTAACTGGGTTTCAAACCAGTGATGTTTTTGCTGTACAGCAAGAGCAGCATCCACTCCTCCATGGTGTGGCACTTGTTTTTAGATTTAGCAGCAGTGTTGCCCATTTACTGACACTCTGACACATGAGGCAATCACCTTATCACTCTAGTCTTCAGAGGTTTGTATTGAAAATGTGAATATTTATAATATTTACAATTTATCATTTTATTGGCGTCCTTTTAAAAAAAAATTTAAATAATATATTAATTTCTATTTATTTTATTTTAATTTTGAATGCCTCTAATGTGTCTTAAAACCAGTTGAGCTCATTGATTTATTACACAAATAAAGTCTAACTGATAAAATGATCAATCCTAAAGACAAAGTGAGATTAAATGATACAAGAAGACAGCGGTGATGTCACTGTGGAAGATTCCCATGTTGTGAGTCCATCAGTGTGATGTGTGTGAGGGTGTTTTGTGCTGGTCCATCGTGACTTGATTCTTCATCAGCTCCTCTGACTCACTGGTAACCTCTTGTTACCATCAGGGCTCAAACCGGTCGTCCTCAGACTGTAAGGCAAGAGCAGTGAGCACCAATCCACTGTATTCTTTTCTGGTAGTCAGTAAATCTTTGTACATTTTTATGAATGCCAGATTTGTGTTTAACAAAGGCAGGAGACCAAATGGTGGTGTGTGTCACAAGTACTTCACTCTTTAAGTAATATTACTTGTGTCATCCATACAACTGAAGGAGTTTATTTTTATTTTTTTACATATCCTTAAGGTTGTTTAGAAACACATAGCAACTGGTGCATTGACCTCACCCACCCCCCGCACACACCCTCTTGTTCTCTGAGGTCAGTGCAACTGGTGCATTTTGTTCCTGTGGTTTTAGCTTTAAAAATGTGGTGTTCATTTTGGAGGAAACTGAAACTCACTTCATGACAGAGGATTTTTATCTTTCCTTCTACAAACACCCAGTCCAACCAAGCTGACATGTGCAACTTGAATAAATAGAGGAACTGGTTGAAATAAATTGGACTTCTATTATAAAAGCTGGCCTGTAGATCTAGATGCTGTGACGTGTCAGAATATGTTATGGCAAATAATACATGTACATGTGCAGTGATGCCTGGGGTTATTTTAGTGATGGGGCTTTTCTGTGGCCAGACTCCAACTCCTGCCCCAGCGTCAGGCGTCAGGAGGATAACATACACTGGCAGCACAGTGCTGCCATTGATTAAACGCTCTTCTCTTTATCTGCCTCTGCACGATAAATCTGCTCTTGGTTCCAGTCTCTCCTCTGAGGTTATCTCAGACGATGAACTCCACTTTAGAACTGCAGTGCAAGGTGATATTTCTTAACTTTTAGTTTAACTTTAAGGCATCGTGTTTGGTGTGCTGTATGTATAGCGGTTGTCTTTCAACCAGAGGGTTTTGAGTCCAGAAAATAGCTGTTTACAGAACACATGCCTGTTAGCCTTAAGGTTAGTTCTGACGTCAGCCTACCTCTCAATATTACAGAGAAACCTGTGGTGTAGAAACCACAGGGACATGAGCTAAATTAGCTGTGGTTTTGATATACAAAAACACAGGTTTGAATTGTTGTATGTTTTCCTGTCTTTAAATTTCGTTGTGTTTCATTTTGAAAAAACAATAAACAACTAAAGAGTTTATTGACGTTTTTTGTTGGATTACACCAGTAATACTAAGGTATAAAACATTATCATCCAGGTTAAAGTTTTTTATCATCAATTAAAGATTATCCTTAAAAGGTAAATGTGATATTTTTAATGTTAATTTGTTCCCATCAGAACAGAACAAATGGATCTCTCTTTTTTTAATTTTTCTGAAACCAGAAGTACATTTAAAAGAACTGGATTTGAGTCCTTTGCCCAGACAAAGAAGCAGGTTTTAACCTGCTGCAGGAGGAAGATAGTAGAAATTTACAAATGGACATGCAGAGAAACAACCATGACTTTTTATCACTTCTTAGACCTTTTTGACAAACCCTCTTACAATGGACATTCAGAAATGGCTGTAAAAAGTGAAACTATTAACTCAGAATAAACCCTGTGCTCTATCCCAAACTTAATTTAAAGGTTAAGGAAAATTGAAGGTGTTATTTCCAAACTAGTGGAGTGTAAAATGCACTGCTGGAACCACATGCACTACTGCAACTCCTTGAAACAAATGAGTCGCCTGAACTGTCCTACAGGCCTCATATAAACTCATACAATAATCACTGAAGCTCACTGTGGTCCATGTTTACACTGCGGTTCATACATTTGCACAGACTGTAATTACCAAAGGCTAAACTTACACCTGATCAATGTTGTGATGAACGTTTGATGCCGTGCATTAATTCTAACAGGTGTAGAGAGGCGTTTGTGTTCAGTCAGGAGAGAACGGTTCTGGCCACTCTGGGATGATCCTAATCTCATAAAATCAAACGACAACTGCTACATGCTAGATTTTTTTAATCACATTATCACTGACTGTTGTAGAAAATCTTGTGCAATTTATTACCAGTGAAGGAACAAGTTCTTTGGGTGTGAACTCCATGTCCTCTTCCCCTGATCTGCCTTACCGTCAGTCATATTTTGAAACCCCTTAAACACCGCCCATCAAGAATATAACAACGTCGGTGGAAACCACCTGAGTCAATTTCAATCTGGGACCAAAAGAAGAGAACTGCTGTCCACCTACAACCAGACAGAGAGCCAACATGAACAGACCTCAGAATGTTTCTGCTGCTCCGTCCTACCTGGGATGGTCTATCTTTAACACCCTGTGCTGTTGCCTGCCTTTGGGGATAATAGCTATTGTCTATTCAAATAAGGTATGTGGCCCAGATACCATATTTGTTGCATCTTGAGGTGGAATGAAATATGAAGCAAAATCATTTACCATGTAAAACTTGTTTTCTTTTCATAATTCTCTTAAAGGCAGATGTTTACAATTCTCTTGGAGAATCATCAGCGGCTCAGGGCGCTTCAAGGACAGCAAAGGTCCTGAACATCGTCGGACTTGTGTTTGGACTGATTATGACTGCCATTGGGATCATCTATATGGCTGTAATTGTTAATGCATTTTCAAGGCGTTATTAGAAAACTTTCAACAAGATTTTATTTTAGTTAGCTGACGCTCCCTCCCCCACACACTCACACTTGAGCAAACAGACTTCTTCCTGCATTGTTAGTTGATACACAGTTGCTGTGGTTTTGATATACAAAAACACAGGTTTGAAGTGTTGTATGTTTTCCTGTCTTTAAATTTCGTTGTGTTTCATTTTGAAAAAACAATAAACAACTAAAGAGTTTATTGACGTTTTCTTGTAGTTTTTTGTTGGATTATACCTGTAAAACTAAGGTATAAAACATTATCATCCAGGTTAAAGTTTTTTTTATCATCAATTAAAGATTATCCTTAAAAGGTAAATGTGATATTTTTAATGTTAATTTGTTCCCATCAGAACAGAACAAATGGATCTCTCTTTTTTTAATTTTTCTGAAACCAGAAGTACATTTAAAAGAACTGGATTTGAGTCCTTTGCCCAGACAAAGAAGCAGGTTTTAACCTGCTGCAGGAGGAAGATAGTAGAAATTTACAAATGGACATGCAGAGAAACAACCATGACTTTTTATCACTTCTTAGACCTTTTTGACAAACCCTCTTACAATGGACATTCAGAAATGGCTGTAAAAAGTGAAACTATTAACTCAGAATAAACCCTGTGCTCTATCCCAAACTTAATTTAAAGGTTAAGGAAAATTGAAGGTGTTATTTCCAAACTAGTGGAGTGTAAAATGCACTGCTGGAACCACATGCACTACTGCAACTCCTTGAAACAAATGAGTCGCCTGAACTGTCCTACAGGCCTCATATAAACTCATACAATAATCACTGAAGCTCACTGTGGTCCATGTTTACACTGCGGTTCATACATTTGCACAGACTGTAATTACCAAAGGCTAAACTTACACCTGATCAATGTTGTGATGAACGTTTGATGCCGTGCATTAATTCTAACAGGTGTAGAGAGGCGTTTGTGTTCAGTCAGGAGAGAACGGTTCTGGCCACTATGTAACACTGTGCTAATCTCATAAACTCAAACGATATTTGCTACAAGCTACATTTTTTATTAGCAGGGGAGAAATAAGTTCTTTAGGTGAGAACTGTGTGTCCCTGGGTAATGACTGTGTGAATACTGTGTGAGACCACGTTTGTTAATTCGATTTACCAGCTACAGTAAATGAGATTGCATGTTTTACGTGGCGATGATGAGCTCAAATGTCATCTTATTCTCATTTGATGGTGATACACGTTAACATCCAGGAGCACTGGAGTGAATCACCAATCACCAATGACAGATCCGGCACAATAGCTGATCAAATTACTCCATTAGAGTCACAGTATCGCCCACCATAATGCCTGTTGATGAGAAGATGATGATCCTGCTCAGGGAGCAGGAAAATGATCTGAAGGTGATTGAATGATGCTGCATGTGTTAGGGCTGTCGGTGTTTCCCTTCCCTGTCCTGTCTGCTGGGTGGAGTAATCAGTGTCATCACTCTCACCTGTGTCTGTCATCAGTCTGACTGGTGTCACCTGGTGCCCTGGGTATATATAGTTTACCTCTCTCCCTCACTCTGTTTTTTTTGTAGGGTCTTTATTTTGTAGCTGTTTTGAGTGTGTGTGTTTGTGTTCTGTAGTCTGTTTTGGAGAATTCCAGGGTGTTTGGAGAAGAGCATGTCTGTGTTCAGTGTTTTATGCCTGAGAGACTTTGTTGTCGCTCTTCCACTCTGTTTGCCGAAGAACCCACTTGTAATCGATGCTTCATTCCTGTGCGTTGCTCTTGCACTGTGAATAAACCACCTGCGGCACCTGAAAAAATCTCCTTAGTGCTGCATTTGGGTCCAACCTGCCCTGCCCTCACGTAACAGCATGGAGCAAAATAACAACACACCTGCATGTTCTGTGCAAACCCTCATTGCAACAGGGTTGCCAGATTTAGAATGTTTAAAGTATTGCAAAAGTGGTCGAAAAATATATTTGGAGGAAAATTTGTCACACACTAAATTCACTCTTTGCTGTAGGTAAAACCAGCTGCTTCCCTGTTGTTTGCTCTTATTTCAAAGGGGTGTATAGTTTACGCAGCTTAATGAAGAAAAGATGTGTCATGTTCTTGTTATGCAACTGTTTCCCAGCTCCACTAAACAACTGTCATGGCTCCACAAGGGTTGCACATGATCTGACAGAAAGAAAACTACAGGAACCTACACAAACTTCTTCTCTTCTGATTTTTCACATGTTCCCAGTAGAGCTCATTCAATTAGACACAATAGGTAAAAGTGAACGTGAACACAGGCGAAACCTTTGATGGAGTTCCTCAAAGCTGGGAAATGATTCCAGATGTTTGAAAGTTATGTACTTTAATACATTTTTCTCAGCCTTTGTCAAAAAAAAGACAGCCCTGAAGCAGAGTGCTTTAAAAGTGAGGATTACTTTTTGTCCCACTCCACCAGTCTGCCTAATCCTCACTCTTATTCAACCCCCTTAAACCACACCCAACAGGACTATTGTGGGTGGGAACCACATAAATCAGTTTCTAACTGGGGCCAGAAGAACAGAACTGCTGTCCATCTAGAGACAGACAGAGAGCCAACATGAACAGTCCTCAGAGGGTTTCTGCTGCTCCGTCCTACCTGGGATGGTCTATCTTTAACACCCTGTGCTGTTGCCTGCCTGTGGGGATAGCAGCTATTGTCTATTCATGCAAGGTATGTGCCCCAAATACCACATTTGTTGCATCTTGCTGTAGACTCTTAGAATTGAATATCCTGAGAAATTATCCGAGTAAATTTCAATTTACCACGAAAAACGTATTTTGTTCCCATAATTTCACCTAAGGCACAGAATGCTAATTCTGTTGAAGAATCAGCAGCCGCTATGGATGCTTCAAGGACAGCAAAGATCCTGAACGTCGTCGGACTTGTGTTTGGACTGATTCTGATGACCATTTGTATCGCCTTGAAAGCTGCAGGAGAAGTTTAAACATCCCATATGCTCCAGAGTAAAGGCTCTCACTGTTTTTTGGGGGGGGTTTTTTGTGTGTGTGCAGACGCTCCCTCCCCCACACACTCACACCCTCACTGGTTACACACATTTAACACACATTCCTCATGCGACATACTTATGGTTTGTTGTTTGTTTCTTGTGTTTATAGTTCATTGATAGTGAGACTGAAGAGTCCGCTTATACATTTCTAATTTGCCATAACTTTTCTTTTAGTACATTGCTACCAAACAGGATGGGGCCCAGGCAGGGTTTTCTTCAAGGGGGGAAGTCGTCCCCCCATTTCATTACAGGAGATCCACCCATTCTCACATGCAGATGTCTGGATGCACTGATAGTTAACACACATTTCCTGTAGTGCTGACATGTTTGAATTGTTGTTTTTTCCTGTCTTTGATGAGAGTTTAATATGAAAAAATAAACAACTTCATTCTTTTTGTGGTCATTTTTTTTTTGTTTAGTTGTAGGTTTATGTTTAACTTTGACTGTAAAACCAAGGTATAAAACATCATCATCCAGGTTTAAGATTTTTATTATTTACAAATGTACTCAAAAAGTAAAATCCACTTTTTGACATTTCTTATTATTGTTTATGTCTATAGTAAAACTGGGACTAAACAGAAAATAGCTGTGAAAAACTTCAATTCCACTTCCTTAATTCCAAAATATTTTGCTGGTAACACTAATACTAATACATTTAGAACCAGTAGGGGGCACACCTAAATCACTTTCAGTGATGAGCATTGACGGAAGCCTTCATAACATTTCTTGTTCTGTTTTGTTGTTCTGAATCCTGTTTCAAATCAATTAAAGAAATTAAAAGGTTGAGAGTACGGTACCCTGTGGCACACCGCTGTTATACTAGCGCCACAGCTCTCGTTTAGAAATCGCTCCCATCAGAACAGAACTGAATCCTGGGAAATTCCCAGGAGCTTCATCAATCTTGACCATTAAAAATCAGTTTTCAACATCTCTGTAACAGTCTTCCTGTTCAAGGGCAAACATTTTAGAAAAACCCTGATAAAGAATACTGTACATCGATAAGGGGTTGTGAAATATCTTCAGGACAAAAAACAAATTCTGACAGATGTGACTCAGCTGAGACTTTAAGGTTCACAGAACTGCCGTCATGAAAAACGTGTTCATCCTCAGGGAAGGTGGTCACACAATCTGGTCTCTATCTTTATCTGCAGCAACAAAACTCTTCTCTTGTAAAAGCTCTTCAAGACGGGAGAACAGGGAGGTTTCTCTGTGTGTCTTCTTTGGATCTTCTGTTTCCTGTTTCAAACACACACACACAGAGAGAGAGAGAGAGAGAGAGTTTACTTTATGGTTACTCTCCGTCTAACTAATTAAAAACTAAATAATATCAAAATTAATTTTTCTTCTTACATCCTCAGAAAGCAATCCTCTGCTTGGTTTGTGTCGCTTGTAGAGCAAAGAGGCAGAGCTATGTTTGTCCCCACCGGGGGCCTCTTGGTCTTGGAAACATGCAGATAAATTGGTTTTCTGTCCTGTGAGTCAGAGGCTCATTCTGGTATGAAAAAGCTCCTCTAAGCACGCCTGCAGTACCTGACACCAAAAACATCCGCCTAATTAGAAAGATTTAAATATAATTCAATGAACCAGATGCTAATTTGTAATAAAAAAAAATGATGTTTGACTTTTTAAGTGCAGCATTAGTTGACTCCGGCTGAAGTGTTCTCCTCATTAATTCCGAATAAATTGTTAAAACCTGGTGTTGGGTGTTTGTGTGTACCTTGTAGAAAAGCCTCTGGAAGGCAGGACTGGAGTCGGTGTTCATATCATTGACTTTGACGTGGCACAGACAGTGGAGCAGCAGCAGAGAGAACCCTCCCGCTGACTGCAGCCTCTGACGTCGGACAAAGAGCATCTTCTCCGCCTCCTGTCAACAGGACAGTCGTTAGTGTGTGACAGGAAGCAGCGGACAAAGTTGTTTGTTATGATATCGGTTCGGAGATAAAGTTGTGTTTTATAAGTTCTTCCGCCTTACAGCTAGGATGTCAGCGGTTTGATTCC